TTTATGAGCATTTTTTTGTATTTAGGGCCAATTAACTTGAGTATTCTTTTTATCATGCTAGCTTTATCGCTTATTTTGAAACAGAAATTAGACTGACTCTGTCACCGTAACAATGAATGCACAATAATTGCAATAATCACCTTATACAATGCAAGCGATATACTTATCATTAATTTGACAACATTAAACTCGCACATTTTATTTTTTGATCAATTGCTTTGATTGAGTAATTAATTTGTGATTATGATCCACATTCCCCCCTTATTTTTTCTATAAAATAATTTTGAGAGAAATTTATCAAAATATTCTTGATAACTTCAATTTATAATGCATTTATTTTATATCTTATGATTTAGAAATGTTTATTATTTTTATATTGTTTTTTATGCAGCTTAACTTTTTTTTATTAGGATATGTGAGTAGATAACAAATAGTTTTATGTATTGTATTTTGTAAGCTAAACCTGTAGATTGGTATTAAATGCATGCTGCGTTTGGCTTAAGCTCATATTTTAGCTCCTGTGTCGATTTCTTCTGCAAACTCGACTATTCAACGACACTATAAAAATCTGGAGAAAAATTGAGCTTGCTCTTTTATTCATATTACAGTATAAATAATATTACAATATATAATAGCCTTTAACAATTCATTTTTTTTGTTTTGGCAATGCATATGGGTCCAAGAACAGCTGTGTTACAGCTGTGCTGTCTGTCTTTACTCTGCTATTCTATACACTGGGTCGCAGAAGGAAGAGACAGTGACATCTAATAAAAGCATTATACAAATATTCTTAAGTATAAAGGCAGGCAACACTGATTAGTTTTCAATTCGTATAGAAAGAAAAAAAAATAATTTAGTACATTATATGAATACGAATGTATAGATTATATAAACTTACTTTATACTATATTTTTGTTATGTGAAACGATACTATACGGATTCTAAACTACACACGAAAGTGTATACCCCATTATCCTTGTCTCATCTTTATCATCACCTGAATTCCATTTTAGTTTTTTCTATGTTATAAAAATTTTGTTTACTTGATTTCGCATTCTTACATTAGAAACACATACATACAAAGATGTAAAATCATATTAAAAACAAAAAAGCGTTTCAAGAAAGTATTGTAAAATAAGGTAAGTGTTTATGCAGATGAAATTTCTCAATTTATGTAAGCATACCTGTTTTCATAGTGCGTCTATTTGTTAAATCTTATTAAATAAGAAATTGTGAAAAATATCAAGTAATAAACTTTCTTGTAAACGATTTTTTTATGGGTTCATGCAAAAAATACAGTGCCGAACAAAATATATCGATAAATATTTAGCAAATTTTTTTGTTTTAGGGAGACGATAAAAACGACGATAAAAGTAAAAAAAAGATTCCCATTCGTACAATTGATTTACCTATTGAAGCTAATGTTTGCGGACTATCTCCTCGAGATCTCGATGCTGCAGTAGAAAAAGAAGTATGTATTGTTTAAGATATATCTCAAGTATTACGTAACTTTTATGAACGTTGCATAATTTTGTCTACAATTATAGCGAAAAAAACTTGTCGATGTAACATCGAAATTATATAATTACATACATTTTGTTCATGAATAGGGTAAAATGATTGCTGAAGATAAACAGGAAAAAGAACGAGTTGACGCGCGTAATGCCTTGGAAGAATATGTTTATGATCTGCGTGCTAAATTGTCCGAAGAAGATCAATTAGCTACATTCATTACCGAAATGGATAAAGAAACATTGTGTCGTACATTAGATGATACTGAAAATTGGCTTTATGAAGAAGGAGAAGATTGTCAACGACAAATTTATTCAGAGCGATTGACGCGTTTGAAGGTATTATTTGATAAAATATTAATCATCGCTTTACAATGTTATGTCCATCGGATCCGCACGTACATTTTGCGAGCTCTTGTGGAGACACTCGCGCTGACGGAAGATTTACGTACAATAAACTTTAGAAAACACAACGCTTAGATTTATTATGCACTACAATAAATGAAAGAGACACACAGGTCCATTCAATACCTGAAACGAATACCTTAGCACGAATTTTGTCGCGGAATCGCTGTTACTCAAAGAATAGCCCGTCATTAGGAATCGGTCTTTACTTTATACTTCATATACGGACAATAACGACAAGATCTTCGCTCGATTATAATAATATCTGATACATGTTTTCCTAGTTTGTATTTTTCAATAATTCTTGCCTTTATGAAATAGAATTTCTAAGTGTCCCGTTTTCATTTTATCAGTCTCAGGGAGAACCAATAAAGGAAAGAAGATTCGAATTTGAAGGGAGATCATACGCCTTAGAAGAATTTGGAATGGCGTTACAATTGGCTAAGAAAAGCTTAGACCAAATTAAAATGTTAAATGGAAAAAATGATAAATATTCTCATTTAACAGAGGAAGAAGTGAAAACAGTTGAGAAAACTGTGCAAGAGAAATGGACATGGTTAGAGGAGAAACGTATTCTACTTGCGAGTACACTTCGCACGCAACAACCACCAGTTACTGTAGCGCAGATTCGAGCCGAGAAACAAGTAAGTATTGAAAAAAAATCAGCTGTAATTATAAACAATTTTCTTTTATTGTATTTATTTTTTCGTTATTTAGGCAATGGATAGTGTGGTACTACCTATTCTCAATAAGCCTAAACCTAAAGTAGAACCGCCAAAGGAAGAAAAACCAAAAGATAAACCTGCTGATGAACAGAAAAATAATCAAAATCAAAATGCCCAAGGTAACAATCACAGTCAGTCCAATCAACAGCAGCAGCAACAAACAGAGGAAGAAAAAATGGATGTTGAGTAACGGTCGCTGTAACTTATGTGTTTTTATTAATCTACTACAATTGAAATAGGAAGTATTTCATTTGGATAAATCATGTCTCAAAAAAGCTTGACATGTTGTAGTCTTGCACATATTTTTTCTGTTTCGTTGTTTATCTTTTTTCTTTGTAACATTTATTAATCTCAAATTAAGCTATTTAATGACATATATACATACTATCATCAGCATAAGCGTGTTACGCAGAAACTAAAGAGATGATGTAAATTTGTGAATTCATGTAATATGTGAAAAAATATCCTTTTGCTTAAAAGCAGCTCGTTGGCATTCGTAATATATATTATTACAAAAATAATTATAATCTGAATAAATTTTGGAGAAACATAATCGGGAATTATTGAAACTTCTTTATAAAGAAGAAAATTGTTTTTCCTTTTTAAGTTCTTAGTACGCTTCTAAGTGCACATAATTGAACTATACAGAATAAATATTTCAAAAGGATTTTGAAAACTATTGCCAGTAGAAAAAATTGTGACTTTTAATGTATAGAGCGAGTGCTGCAATTTTGTACAAATTAATGTGATCAACAGTTAAATGAGAATACTTATCATTTTTTCCATTCAACATTTTTATTTGGTCTAAGCTATGACCTCCCTTCAAATTCGAATCTTCTTTTATTGGTTCTCCCTGAGACTAATAAAATGAAAACGGGGCATTTAGAAATTTTATTTCATAAAGGCAAGAATTATTGAAAAATAAAAACTAGGAAAACATGTATAAGATATTATGATCGAGCGAAGATTTTTAAATTTATTACGTAACATCTATTACATAAAAAGTATTTATTACAATATTTTAGTATTTATCAAAAAATACTGTAATAAATACTATAAATTCTTTTTATGTAATAAATGTTTCTAAATCTAACAATTACTTCTTGTTCACATTAATTTGCACAAAATTAAGTTAGATATAATTGACTAAATAAAATTATGAACTAGATAATTTCGCTGGCGATCTTACGTATTTGATAATACAATTGTTCATTCCAGCATTTTCGCATAGTTGACAGTAAATACTCTGTCACATTTTTTTGCTGCATTTATGATACTTAAATAAATTAATATTTCGCTAATTGAAATTGTGCTAAGTTTGCTTTAATTTTTGGATTAACATCTACAAAGATGTTACAAGAATTTATTGCAATTTCTTTTTTAATTTTAATTGGACTTCAATCGTTTGGTGCAAAAATTTCATTTCCTAAAGAATTCTAATTCAACTAGATATATCATTGTACATAACTTGTAGGCATCTACACAATGACATAATATGTTTATCTTTTACGATATTTATATTGCTATATTTGCAGGACAGAAGATTCACAAAAATTATTAAGTTGTTCCTAGAATAAGCAAGATAGGTGGTCCTATTTCATTCTTATGCCTAATTCGTTCCCACATCGCTAGCACTTAAGAATCGCAAATTATTATACACACACACACACACACACACATATAT